ACAGAAAGCTGTCATTTTCCCCCCACTATCGATGTACTAGAGCGATGCAAAAATAATGCTGAAAGCGAGCTATCTCGTGGCAGATTTGGGGGGGTGGTGAGGTTAGGACCGTAATGTGTGAGTATTCTCAGGGCATCGGGAAATGGGTTACAGAGGCAGAAGGCGGGAGGGCAGGTTCGCAACTGTTAATTAATGGGTGGGTGTTTCAGCATTTTTGCCTAAATTTCTTTTTCCATGTACGTTCTGCCGCTTCTGCCAGGTCTCCTCCTTGGGGAGACCTCTCTGTGATTCCTCGGGCTCGCTGCCCACTCGGGGCGCATGGTCCGAAAGCCCAGCAGGCAGGAAGAAAGAAATGTCTGCGACCCTCACCCGCCCAGTTCCAGCTCCGTGCACACGGGGATTTTGACAAGCCGGCAGGCATCTCAGCCGCTGTGCCCAGCACGCGTACTAAGAGTGTGGGCTGTGCTGACCTTGCCGGCTGCTCGAGCCTGTGAAGTCACTACCTGACATAAGGGGAAACTGAGGCTCAGAGAGGCACAGGGATCTGCCCAAAGCCACCCGGCTAGTCAGTGCCGGAGCTGGAATTTAAACCCTGCTGCTCTAGGGCCTGACCGCGTTTCTTCTACACTTAAGCAGCTTTAACAGCGCCCGGCGCTCAGAGAGCTTCGCAATGAGTTTCCTCCGCTGGTGCCGCGGGTTCAAGGCGCTCGCCAAACGCCCGTGCCCCCCGCCCCGCCCTGGGCCGGGACGCGCGCAGGTGGCTTCTGCGTGTCTAGATCTTTCCTCGCTCTTGGGAGATCCCAAGAACCCTGGGCTTTCCTCTGCCTCACCTGTGAACATCACATCCGTCCCTCCGCTTCGCCTAAGTGGGTGCTAAGGTCGAGGGCCTCGCTGGCTGGGGACGGCCAAACCAGCGGCTGGAAACATTTTCTGTGGACCCGTCTGTCCCGGACCCAAACCCACGTCTCCCTGCCAGGGCCACGGCCACCCCGGTGGCAGCAGCACCAGCCGCTCGGCATGTGTTTTCTGCCCCGTTCAGTGGCTTGGGGCAGTCGATCGCTCTCTCCTCAAAAACACTCAGCTTCCAGAACACACGTGCCTGGTCCTCTTGCCCAACCCTCACTCGTGGGTCTCTCTCGGGGCTGTCCTTGTCCTCACGTCTTCTCCTTCTTCCAGAGGTCGCAAAATGGCGGCCTGGCGGCCTCTCAGACCGGCCAGCGGATTTTGTTTGGTCCTCACCGTGTTGTTTGTCTTTGATTTGAATGCCGTTAGGCGGGGCAAGCACTCTCCAAGTTCGCCACAGTCCCCATCATTCCCTACCGTCTTACACCCGTCCGCTTCACACATTTCCATCACCTGCCTGGTCCCTGGAGCCATCTGAGTTTCCAGAAGCCTCTGCTACACACGCTGCCTGGGACACCTCGCCCGCCTCCCCTTCGTCGGCTGCCCCCCGTGCGTCCTGCTCCAACTTTCGTGTGTCGGAATCACCTAGGGAGCTCGTTCAAAGTCCTCAGCCTCCCTCCCTCCCCCAGACTCCATTCGGCAGTCCCGGGGCAGGGATCAGAAACTCAAATGCCTACAGGAGCCAGGCGGGCCACATAAATGAGTGAACGAGCCAGGTATAAGGAAAGTCGACGGCCAGAGATATAATCAAATCGCATCTTTACTGAACTATGGTGAATGCATGGAACATAATACAAACACGTCTGATACTGGAGGTTCATTTTTCAAATTCAAAGTTGAAAAAATACAAATTGAAAAATAGAAAGATTTAATTTTAAAATTTAATTTTCTCTTTCGTAATTCTTTTGCTCCTTGGACTTGAAGCCGCGAGGCTGACGTCGACCAAGCCGTCGGCATCTGGCCTGGGCTGGCGCAGCGGGGTGGGCACTTGAGAACTCAACCTCGAGTCCTGGGAATGGTGCCTGTTTCGTAACAGAAAATCGCTGTTCGCCAGCGTGGGTACCTCGTGCTCGGAGACTCGGACGCCTGCTGAGTGTCGTGGGGCTCAGACCTCCCAGCAGGTGCACCGGGAGCCAGCACCCTATTGCACTGCAGGCCAATGACCACGGCTCGCAGTCTGCCAGCCAGCGAAGGCGAACGGATGGCGTCAGGTCATTTCCGTGAAGTATGGACGCGCAGGGCCTTTGGGGGAATCTGGTCTTCAACCCCGTGAGCTGGGTCAATACCGCTGGGCCCCCGTCTCTCGTTTCTGGAACCACCGCGGCAGGAGGAGGCAGCTATGCCTTGCCGACGGCTTCCCTGCCTTTGCCAGGACTGGGCAGATACCTTGTACATTCAAGTGGCTGTTTGTGAATGTCCTTGTGGAAAAATGAGTGTTCAGAAGGGTCGTAGCCTTGACCCAAAGTCTTTGACCCACCTTCTCAGGGGAACCAAGGCGTGGCCTCTGCCGCATCCGAAATGAACTAGATTGATTTCTGCAGTTCTGATTTCTTCCACAGTGCCGTGTGACGACCAGGTCACAGAGCTTCCGCGATATACCCTGGGTCAAGTTCATCATCGACCTGCCCGTGGAGAAAGTACAGAAACGTGTCGAGGGCGGCCATGCTGTGTCCCATTCACCTTCTTACTGCAATCCAACTCCAGGTGGCTGACACAGTGACCCGACTTCTGCGTCCTTGCCAAACGTTGTCACCGTGGACCGCGGTGTCCTGACACGGTTCCCTGTGACACAGATCATTAAACTGCGACTGTCTGTAGCTGTGCTCAGGAATTCTGACCAGTCTACAGGAAATCTTTTTTTTTTGTCAACACACACACACAAAACAAGTCATTTCCCAGTGTTGGGCCTGCCTTGGCTCCATGTCACAGACTTCTTCGGTCACGTCAATCAAAACTCTCAACTTCACAAATAAATAAAGCTAACGGGGTGGTAGCGGTCCACGCGCAGGGATAGGAAAGGCCACAACTGATGACTCTTTCAAGCAACTGGACTCGTCAATCTGATTTCTCATCCACACGCCGTGCAATGCAGAGAAACGCCCGTTAGACTTAATGGCTCTGCTCGTCTGTAAACTCGCCGTCTGCAGGAGGTCTGAATGCCCGGGTAACTTTCACATTATCCTAGAACTGTGTGTGGCAGCCACGCCACCTCCGCCGCTCGCTCCCTGGGGCGGACCCTACTGACATTTGAGGCTCTTCTTCAGTTCGCTGAGTATCGCGTCGCGCGTCTCCTCTGTGTACTGGTCAAAGCTCTGACTGTGCTTTGACTTGTAGTGACGTTTGAGGTTGTATTCTTTCAACACAGACATGATTTTTTTGCATATTAAACACGTAGGCATGCTCTTCACTTCCACAAAGAAATAGTCTCGCTCCCATTTTTTTCGAAACACGGGGCCCTCTCGTTCTCTCTTTGGTTGTGCCACTTTTGATAGAGACATGGGTACAAGAAAGATTTCACTCCCTTTGCACGCGACCACGAGGACAACCGCAGGGCGAGCCTGGTGACCGAGGTGGGGGAGCAAGAGGGAGTGGTGGCGACTGTGGCGAACCAGAGAGCACACGCCCCACTTAAAGGGGCGGCTCCCGCCCGTGGCTGCCGGGCTGAAGGGGGGCTGGGGGTGCCAGATCTTATGACTTGTCAAGAGAAGCCAAGACTGCAGATTGTGTGTGTGTGTGTGCGTGTGTGTGTGTGTGCATACGCATGAGACAGAATGATCCCGATTTTTACAACTAACTCATTAGAAAAAAAAGACATATACTGACACAGGGAAGGCCAAACAAAACTCATCTGCAGAGTGGCCCATGGGCCACCAGATTGCAACCTCTCCTGGGACGGGGCCCGGGAATCTACTGTTAACCAGTGTCCCCTGCAACGTGGAGGCGGGCGGTCCAGGTGTGGACCACTCTGAGCGATGCTGGTCTAGAGTCTGGCAACAGACAATCCTGCCTCCAAGGAGACCACCACGCGCCTCGTACCTGTGTCTGTGTCCAGCTGCCCCAGGACGTTGCCAAGGACATCCCTCACGCCCCTGGCCTCACCACGCCCCGCACCCATGTCCTGCCAGGTGTTCCATCTCGGGGACAGCCCGCGGACCACCTGCCCCAAGCCCTGGAAGGCAGGTCTCTGACTGGGACCTGGGCCCGCCTCCTTCCCACAGGTGACCCCGCCCGCTCTGTGGCTTCACCCACCAAGCCCGCACGTCTCCTAAGGACACGTTCTGGGCTCCCGACATGACAGCTGTCACTCAGACGTGCCTTGGACCATTAGCATTCACCACTGGCTCCTTCTCCCGGTTCCCAAACTTGGGGAGGCCCCACTATCCACCAGCACCCAGCCAGGTCCCAGGAGCCAAACTCAAACCCCACCCCCCACCTCCAGCCTCCTTCACATGGCACCCGAGTCCCCAGCCCCACTCTGCCTGCCCCCGACCCTGGCCTCTCTTCTCCCCAGGACCTTCGTCCGGCCTCCTCCCTGCCTTCCCGCTACTGCCCAAGACCCACCCCCTGCTTGTGGTCTCCTGTGGCTCTTGTGCCCCCAGGACCAACCTTGAACTGCTCGGTTTGGAAGCTGAACCTGGCCCACCTTGGCGCCTGCCACCTCCAGGCCCGCCCTGCCTCGTGCTCACGCCCCAGAAGCACTGACCCGCTAGTGCCCACGCCCACCCCAGGCTCCCTCCTGCCTCCGGGCATCCGCTTCTGCTCCCTCCACACCTGATGGCCCCCCGCCCCCTCCCTTCCTGGCCTCGCCGCCTCCTGCCAAGACTGCTGAGCCCGGCTGGCTCAGAGGCCTCTCTTCCTGGCCCCCTCGGTACCCACTCTGCCTCCGTGAGAGCACGCGGTCCCGTGAGCCCTGCCTGCCTCATCCCGTAGGGGATGAGGCCCGATCCAGGCTGTACCCGGCTGTCTGACTCGCTGCCGAGGTCCTGGCGTTACCAGCCAGGGGGCCTCTGGCGGCTGCTGAAGCGACAAGGACAGAGAAGTCTCCCCCAGTCTCCTCCTGCCCAGTCTTGGGGGACATCAGTGACGGGAGCCGGGGCGCGTGTTGAAAGGAACTTTATTGGGTGCTGGGGGTTCAGATGAGGTCCATGAGAATGTCGTCCTCCATGACGCTGGGCGGCAGGCCCGGCTGGGGGACCGCGCCCCGGGGAGCCCCGCTCAGCAGCATCTGACCTGGGGGGCAGTGGGGGAGGGCTGCATCTCCCAGTAGTCCCTGGGGCCCTGAGGGGCCCTGGGCTGCTTCCTCCCTTCTCCTCCAGGAGACTAGGGCGCTGTGTCTACGAAGCCCTGGGGGTCCCCGTCAGAGGCGCTTTCCGGCCCCATGAGGACGTGCGTGTGCTGTTTCCCAGAAGCCTCTGAAAACCCGTCCCCCACAATACCTCTCTGGACCTGAGACTGCATTTCCCAACAACCCCAAAACACACAGCAGGCGGTTAGGGGAGAACTCTCGCACCCTAGCCCTCAGAGCCCCACAGAAACCGTGAAAGGACCCAACTCGCTCTCCCTGAACCCCAGGACTCCACTTCCAGGAGCCCTGGGTCTTGGGGCACCAGCCCAGGGCCTGCGGGACGTTCAGCCCAGACCCCGGCCCCCCGACCTCCTTACCTGGCAGCGGAGCCCTCGGGGGAAGCTGCGCGGACCAGGACTGGGTGGGCGGCGGGTGCAAGAGCGGGGGGCCCAGCTGGGGCTGCCCCAGGCCCTGGTGAGGCGGGGGCAGCATTGGGGGGGCCCCTGGTGGCTGGAGGTGGTGGAGGGGAGCCTGTGGAGGGGGGACCCCAGCCTGGGGCTGGGGGGACAGAGGAAGCTGCTGAGAAGCCCCCACGGGGGAGAACTTGCACGCAGCCCTTGGCACAGAAGCCGCTCGGACTGTGTCATCCAGCGGTGTCTGAGGGGTGGGGAGGGTCTTTCTTCAAAGAAACCTTAGCAGGTGCCGGGTCGGGGAGCACTGGGCAGGGCTCTCCTCGCACCCCTGACCAACCCGTCCCCCTCCCCCAAATCGCAAAGACTAGGCGGTCAGGGCCCGGGACCCGCGCCCCAGCGCTGACCCGAACCTCACCGGTGGTGGGTTGAGCAGGAGGCTCCGCAGCTGAGGGTTGGCCCCCGGGTTCTGGGGTCGGAGGATGGGTCCAGGAGGGGGCGGGC